GATGTGTGCTAAGTCATGTTGATTTATGAATAAGATAAACATAACTATGAATTAGCACAGACTATAGTCATTTTCATTCACATTGTAAGGTAGTAGGAAGTGATCCTAACATCAACTTTGTGTTTTATCATCACCAAGTTCATGAGTAAATGTCTCTGAATTGAAAAATAAGTCAAGTAGTAAAAAGACGGAATAATTTCAATGATCCTATTCGGTAATGAATTCATGATAAGAAACGTATGGTTACCCGATTTATAATGCCCATTCTGTAGATAAGGTTCCATGAGTTATTAGCATCATAATGAAATACGTAATACTTAACCACACGACACAGTGAATGTATCATTCTAGAAATCAGACGATGCAGACAAAACTTAATGTAAGAATGTATAAGGCGAACATGAATAACATGACAATCATTCGAATGAGATCATAGGTATAGTAATCTTCTTTCTTTGTTTCCCGAAGTTAATTTTTGTCCGTCTAGACAAATTACCTTGTTATAGTCATGCAGCACTTTGTAATCTTATGAACTCAGCTTAGTCTAGAGGGTTGTATCGGATATCAAGGATGAAATATTTTGATATACTATTCGTTGCAAGAACGGTCATTCACGAATTTTATAGATTAAACTTAGTAATTTTACTGTGACTATACCAATGTTTCATTGTACAAGAGTAAATGATAGAAATCAATTGTGCATCAACTTAATTTCATTTATAAATCAGTCACATTTACTAGTTAACCAAACAGGATGACACCACAAGACTGAAGACAAGTGAAGATAGATATGAATGTATAAAAACGTATTATAGAAAGAGAAGTGTTGATTGCTTTATGGTTTATGTATCAATTCGGCTATTTGTTAAGTTTACTAGATAGAATCGATAATCACATCTGAATTTGATTTATGCATACTTCCAAGCTATAATGGGACTGTGATACTGATAGTCTATAGTTGATGGTTAGTTGCTAACAAATCACGGGCGACCGCATAGACAATCCACTTAATTTCAAGATGACTTTCATGTAATCTCTCATGAGGTAACGAAATATGTGTAATCAAACAGCACTACAGAGTTGTTTAATACGGATCACGGTCTTCTCAACATTAAGAATCAATGATGGCAAAGAACATTTACGATTCATGTTTCATGAGAAGTAGGATACATTTAGATCACTGACTCATATTTCAATTGTTCTCATTTTCAAATTAAGTAACATTAAGAGGAATAATGTAATTTTCAAACAAGGATATTGAATATCTACTCTCAAGTTTCAAATAATTGGCTGCATTAGTCGAGACTCGCTATTATAACTACGGAAAAATCACTTTAAAGTTAGTGACCAGTGAGCTTATAATGAGTCGTCCTTCCGACGGTTATACTTTATTCCATATGAATGACGTGAAAGATGATATTTGTATGTTAAACATTCAACATGATTTACGTCCATGCTAATATTATATTGATATCCACTAGTACAAGTCACTTCATTTGATTTGACCACACTTCGATTGAAACAATAAACATTATAAGTTGGTATACGACTGGATGAAACATACATGGAACACAATGCGTGTTTTCACATATTTAAACTATGAGATGTCATATGTGTGTACAAGTATTATGATTACGCAGACATTTATACTGATACTCGAATTAGGTTCTGATATCTTACTTTAAATACAATTTACTGTAAAATCAATCATATACGACATTTGCTTTATTGAAAGTTATTATGACTATGTATGTGTATCTTTATGCATTCACTATCACGAGTATCAACATTTCGATGCTCATGTTTAATGTTACATCAATCACATATTGTCATATCAGTAATAAAAGTTAGTTACATTTCTATACTCATATAAAATTAATACATTTAACTATTTGACCATAATACACACATCAAATCTTCCATCCTCCAGAGGATACATTTTTATAATCGTCATGTACTTGTTGTGTGTGAATTAGTAGTTGACCATTTGAAATTCTTCTCATATCTAGAAGCGTACTCTTCACAAATTGATATGGATAAAATTAAAATAACGGTTGAACAAAATGAAGGCAAGTTACCACTTCTTTATCTTCCTTAACCATTGAATCATTTATTCAAGATTTATTACTGTTTACTAACTGAAATCATATTCTACTGTTTTCCTTATCTACTGAAGATCATAAATCACAGTGCATTATAGATACTGACCTAGTTCTTTCAGACATTGAGGATTTCATTCACATAATCACCTTTGTATGAAGACTGTTTATCGTTCTATGGTAGGACATAAATCATTATGTATATACAGTCATCTATGTTGCCCAATTTACTGTATACTTTCAGTGATTAACTGAGTGATTACATATAAAACATTCAAATCCTGAATAATCGCATACAACTATGATCCATTAAAGAGCAATATATTTCTCCATATTGATGTTTTCAGTAATAAAGTGAAGTACATTTATCAATCAAGACAAAGATTTCTGTAATTTTTTTCACAGCTTCTGCGAAAAAGTTTGACGAGAGAATACAAAGAAATAAACGTGTTATTACAAAGCTAATAGGTATGTTAATTATTTGTTTATCTTGAATTGAAGAGTTCCTTGATCTACATCAAAAATGATCCAATGAATTTCTTTAATATGTCTGATTGTGAAACCTGTACTGATTGTACTCATAAATTGATCAATTCTAAGCTGTCACTAATTTAATCAGAATTACAAAACTTGAAGTCTATATCATGGATATTTGATTGTCAGATACAATAAATATCCAGTAAATATGAGAACTATATGCACAATGGATATACGTTGATGAGAATAAAACAAAGAACGAATCACGTTATTTCATGTGGTGATTATTCGAACAAGATATGTGTCTAGGCATTATAAAAATGCTGAATATAATGCAGCTTTGTATTATTCTGTATTATTGATCATTGACAAGTAGAAAATCATTGATAATCAGAACTCAATTCACACAGTATGTGCCAATTGCTTATTGTCTTTCAATAATTGTTGAAATAAATTCAATTTCCAATGTGAAACCATAAAACTCGTCGACCCTTCCATATTCTTACTTACTTACTTATTTCCTTACGCCTGTTACTCCAAATGGAGCATAGGCCGCCGACCAGCATTCTCCAACCCACTCTGTCCTGGGCCTCCTTATCTAATTCCATCCAAATCTTGTTCATCTTTTTCATGTCTATTTCCATTTCTCGGCGTAATGTGTTCTTTGGTCTTCCTCTTCTCCTTTGGCCTTGAGGATTCCATGTGAGAGCTTGTCTCGTGACACAGTTGGGTACTTTCCTCAATGTGTGTCCTATCCACTTCCAGCGCTTCTTCCTGATATCTTCCTCCGCTGGGATCTGGTTTGTTCTCTCCCACAGTACGTTGTTGCTAATAGTGTCCGGCAAATGGATCTGAAGTATTTTGCATAGACAATTGTTAATAAACACCATATTCTTACACTAAAATATAATACTTTTATTATGAAATGTATATGTTCATAGAGGAAATCAATGCGGAATTGAAAAATCACAATGTGCAATCTGATCAAGGTAGACTATTGAATCAAAAAAATATTAAAATTGTCAAATAATTAAATTTAGTAATTGAATGTCAACGTAAATTTTATGAAAACAAACAAGGCGGGAAAATCTTTGGTGGTATGTGATTAGCTGAAATCTATTTTTATTATTGTAATATGTTGGTTGTTCTACCGTAACTCACCTTAATATTTTATGCATGTTATAAAATGTGAAAGTAACTTTTGTCACATTGGTCGTTACCGTATACTGATATATTTAGTCCTGTAATGGATTGAATTTTCACAGTAAACTTTTGTATTCGTGTGTAAATGTTTGGTTTCGTCTCCCGGCTTGTGTGTATTCCGTAACACTGATTTTTAAGTATAAAATAATCAACGTACAATCAAGTTTGTAAGAATGACATGTTAACTCCGTGATTTGTTATTGATCTGCTAATTAATATTTGAATGCATGGTATATAAATGGTATACATTTCATTTATTGCGGTTCGCCAACACAATGTATTCGATGAAGATCAGGTTGTACATCCCATAACCATCATCATGCACAACAATGCTAATTGAGTTTAGAGAGATGGATGAACAGTTTGATAAGCTTATCAATATTTGCTTCATCCTATTTTCTGCCACGGTTTCGAAACTCCTATGATAAGGTATTTAAACCAATGAGGATTTTCAATCGCTCATTCAAACAGACGTTCAATTGATCATTATCATTATCATCGCTAAAGTAGTGAATTTACGAAAGCTGTTCAATCTGAAACCATCTTTAACTGTACAGAGAACCGTCAAGATAAATAAACATTCCAAGTTATTTTGTATAGTTTTTGGCACGTTGAGGCACTCTGATCATTGTGGATACATTAGTCAACAATCTCAATATATCGAGCTGAATGTTAGGTCAGAGGTACACGTGAAAATGGTTAATCTGCGAAATGATTCGAGTAAACGAAGACCGATTACTCAAAGACTTCAAAAGATTTCTGTCGTCACGTTGAATGATTGAGAAAGAGTACTGTGCAAGATTCACATTTTCATCTAATGCAACAAACGGTTAGTTTCTGCTTACTGATCGGGTATTGTCAAATAATCCAATACTGAATTCTATTAACTGATGAACAAGATCTGTGAATGATACGGTATTCTATGACATTCATCGCTATATTTGTACTGAACTAGTCTTTTTTGTGTACTTCAAAATACTTTTAATGCATCCTTACAACATCCAATTCTTTGATTACACACTTTCAGATTTGATAAAGACCATTCATTTCAACAAGTTTAAAAGTCGTAAGTTTTCACTTCACTCTATTCTACCTTCAATAATCTGTGATCAATTCAACTTACACATAAAATAGTGATACATTCAGACATTTAATTACACTTTTGAATATAGTGGTTTTTTAGTAATGCGATGAATGTTTCAAATTTGTCTTCTTTACCAGCCCTAGTTGCCGACTATAACTTCGCTGATTTGATCAAATGTTTTGAAGAACAAAAGAAGATCCATCAAAGTAAGAGATATATTTGTCAAGATGTTTTCTCACTTTTGTAATCCTCGACATTTTGCAGTTTACTAATCTTATGAAAGGCGTTTGCTCGTTTGTCCGCCACTGACACGAGAATGTCGAGAGAGCATTTCCTACCTGTCTGAGTAACGTCATTATACACATCTGCCATTTTATCTTGCACAAACAATTTCAATGTTAGATACACATTCAGTAAAATGAGGACTGATCAATGGCACTTCCATGGTTATGATGATGGGAACATGTGAATTTGAAATACATCCTGACAACAAACTTGTAGTAGTCCCTCGATGAGAAGGTGAACAGTTTGTCATAAATAGTGAGGTGTGAAACTTGTTGAAAAAACATGCCTCTTGTTAACTAATTAACAACGCAAGCAATGTTACTAAAGATGACGTCATGCTGCAAGCGATCGCGGTGCTGGTTACTAATTTGTGCTTTTCTATATGTTAGATAAAGGGATGATACAATGTACTTTGCTTGATTCCTTAATGAACAACTCTACCTGTTTTTCAGAAATATCACTTCACGAATAAACGTCTTGTTATTTCGTGCATAAACATGTGAACATACAATGACATATGGGTCGAGTAACTAACTCAACCAGCATCCATTTGACATGATTTTATCTTGTTGTTGATCATACATTAAAAGTACCTTGTTGTTTTTCAATTGAATAGTCGAGGCAGATCGTCTAAATGGTTCAGCATGTTACGTCAATCTACTACCACAACATATTGAAGGTAAGACAAATCTTTAATGTTTGTTCAATCTCGTCGTGAATTAAGATAAAGTGACATACTTCTACAGTGGTTGTAATATCAAAAGCCTCAACTAACATTAATGTTTTGTATAAGAATTTGTTATTTCATTGTTAAAGTAGTCAAATAATCTTTTGATTTTCATATTCATTTTCATAAAAGTGATTAAGAAGGTCAATAAAAAATTTGAATCTTACTATGGTATGAAAGTGGAATTCAGTTTTTTTTCATGTAAGTATTATAAGTCGATGCATTTCAATTATGTATGGATGAGATGTGAATGAATGAATGAATGTGCAACGCGTATTATTCGTTGTTTAAAGTGAACTGTTATGTTATGTCATCGATTATTTGTTAGTCATTTTCATTAAAATGTAGTGTAAGTGATCATTTGTTGGCTGTGCATTATCCATTTTGGACAACCACATCCATATCCCGCTTCATACTTTGTTTCTGCCAAGGTTTTGTAGTTTCTATGGTAGGGTATTTAAAATACTGAAAGTATTCAATTTCTCAGTGTATTATCAGGTATAGTTTTGGATAGTAGGTAGTTTCAAAATTTACACTTCGTTTTCTTAGCGATCGATCAACTGTATACACAAACATCTAATCAATGGAATACCATTAGTATTATTGTTATGATCAGTCAATCGGTATATCAGTTACAGAAACTCATCGGCTCGTAAAATGTCACTTGATTGTTCAAATCAAGAGGTATAATGTTCGTGTTGTAGCATTTAATTCAACACTGAGACGCAAGAAATAAAGTTCAACGAGTGTTTAGTTAGACTACACCGTACTATCAGCATTTACATTATTGGACACTGTTGGCTAAAATTAAATCCAGGCATTCGAATTAAGAGTGAGATGTTCTCTAAAATTGTTGAACATGTATTTTTCTTCAAACGATCTTTGCATAATGACATTAAATGTGGATTTCACGGAACAAAAGTGAAAATGCTGGTCTCATTTTCTGATTTCAGTTCTAGCCACATTCGGGTGGGACGATGTTCGTGCGTTATAACGTAAGATTGTGAATAATATTGAAATCATATTGTTGAACCAAGAATATTTATTAAGACAATAAAGACTGATATTGTAGACCCAAACCACAAACACACAAAAACAGTAAACCATCACTTCTAAACTGGGAATTTCAATTGAGATGAAACATTCCAAGTTGATATGGGATTCATCGGTGAACAGATATTCCAACGTAATATTTTGATTGTGAAATATATGTAAATGACTAGATAGGCGATTGTGTCTTGCGGTCACTAATTCCCCAAGTAGTTAGACATCAACAAATATCACGTGGTCTATTCCACAATCAGTATTCCACTTATCGATTAGCTCACTCACATTGCTAGTAGACTGTGGACTTACTTCACTACTCGTTGAAAGATCTAACCACACAACACACCTGATATGAAATCATACTTGAAACAAAATCTTGCAATACGTGATAGACAACAGCATAAATAGGGCATTATAAATTACCGATTATAAAGGGGTAGTAAAGTATATGGCAATATTGAACCAATCCGCTGAAAGCTTATAAACACTGTAATATAAAATGTCAACCATTCAGAAGTTATTATAAATTTTCCAAGTTACCTAATGTTCATGCCCTTTAAACAACAAAATAACGATATGTCATCGTAAAATTAGTTATTTCAGGCAGTACAGACATCTCGATCACAACTTTCTATTTGGTCTGTTGAACGTCAAGAAACTGTCAGGATCTCATTATAGATAAATATGAGCATAACATTGATTAAAATACAAGAGCATGATATAAAGGATTACAAATGTCCATTGTTTTCACTGATCGATCCTTTATACCGACTTTTCATGTTTTAATCTGTTGATTACAAATTGATAACACAATATTCTATGGTTAGTTTATTCAACTGTTAGATGTATAATGAAGAATGTCCCAATCATCCAGTATTTGAAATAGGTAAATTTGAATTCTTAAGTGTATTGACATCTGTGATGCTCTTGTAGTTCTATTCCATGCTCGTCAACTAGACTTGAACCGAGTACCTAACGTTCGAAACACTGAAGCATTATGACTTGAAGGCACAAACTCTTACGAATGATACTCATGAATATATATTGGATAAATAATTTTATTGCTCTCATTCGAATCTATGTAAACAACATTAGTTGACTCATTCAATAAGGAAGCTCCTTATTAATTTATTTGGTTTTTGTTTTATTTCAAAGGTAATCAGCAGGCTTCACATGAACAGATTGGTCTCAATGGTTGGTTTGTACACCTATATGTAACAATAAAAGTAATAAAGTGCTTACACTGGAGAAATTGAAAATTACTTCTTGTGTAGAACAGGGTAAAAGGGAATTCAGTCTTGACAAAATAGGTTCGAAATGATCTTATGAAATCTACAAGTGATTTTTGAAGATGACGTTCCGCAGGAATCAGCCAGAAGCCTTAACAGAAACGAAATTGATGAGGAGGAAAGAAGTACATAAGATGTTAGATATTCAACAACCTTTTCAGTGGGGCACAACATGAATGTGTATATGCAACATGATCTTGAAATAAGTGGGAAAAAATTGACGTATTAAAGATGACAGCATCTAATCAACAAACAGTAAAGCTGTTGTGAAAATGCCATTTTTTAACAATGTGAATGAGGTAACATTGCACAAAAGAACGTAACGTGAGATGACTCAAGTCATTCCATACAAAACAATTCATAGAATACTTTACAAATAGGGTCATGATTTGCATGAAACTTTACATTACACTTAGAGGTTATAGTTTCAATAAATGGAACGTACATGTAGCTTAGTGATTATACGTCTTGCCTTACCTGTGAACATCAACTACTTATGTCTAAATATTATAATATTGGTATTATAACCAAACGTAGTTAATTTCTGCTATCATTGTTTGCAGTTGTTGTTACCTGCTTGAGCATTTAGGCCATCTCCTTCTGCTCTCTGAATATTTCATTAGGTTATTTGTTTTTGCTTGTTGTAATACACCACAATGTTTAATAATCTTATAACCAAATAAGGTGGGTTTATGGAAAGTTTACAACGTTCCGCTGCACATGTTGCATACAACCCAATCAAAAACATCGTGGTTGCTGGCGATATGCAACGAAAACGGTTTCTAGACTGCTAACTGGTGACCACTCAATATTTATCAACAGGATCGACCAAGAAGTGAACGCCCTCACACAAAGAAAATAAATGTGTCACGATCATGGTCGATATACATTTTAAACTTTTCAGGTATTCGGTACATCATTTAATCGTAACACCCACAGATAGTACGCTTCACGTGTGTGATGACTGACTGAGCCTTAGTTAATCACGATTCCTTTTATCATGTTGATCTCAGAGTCAAAGAAATTACACATGTTTTACAGAACAAACACTAAATACGATCAGCATACATTTCAATTATAATAATAATAATAACCATAGAAATAATAATAATAACAAGAAGAATAATGAAGGGTGAAGGTCAAAATGGAAATGAATATGGGAAATAATTCGTTTTTGTAAAGAGAGTTTGAATTCCATCTCGATGGATATCTAAATAATCTGTGGTGTAACAGAGTTGCCACTGATGAAATTTGAAGATGTTTATGAGCTCCTCACACATTCGTGTCGATATTATAACAACGTGTAAATATGCAGCAAATTTCACACTCAACTCACTTGATTCTGGCCGAGATCAACGGTGTCAATCCACTGATTTCATTATATTTTTAGTAAGATTCTGTAATGTACAATGTTGCCTTGGCAGCTCCATCGATGTCAAATGAACTCAGTTAACCAAGTGGAAACGAATACGGAAATCTTCCGAAATTCTGGATACAATTGGCTTATCAACAGTCACTCTCAAGTCTAATGAAATTGAAGTCAAATGTTCTCAATGCAATCTCTGTGTATTTTTATGATATTTTAACTTGTAAATGTTTTTCTTGTGTACACTATGTACTATGACACCTAGTCAAATTCATTGTTTACTTCACTTGTTGAAATCATCAGTCAATTGAAGTTAGACCACCTTGGAACCATTGGAAGCATTGGCCAACCGCTTCATCCTAGTATGTGTCTCATTTGGATTATATAAACAGCAGTCGCAGCAAAAGCAGTAGCAGTTGTTATACTCGAACAATATTTCATTTCTTATACCAATCATGTTACATCAACTATCTTATTGGATTAAATTATTCAAAATAATTAGTCGCTTTTATAAATTTTGATAGAACAATGAGAATACGAAGTTGATCTGTATAAATGTGATGTATTTGCGCTATACCCTTTGAACAATCTGGTCAGGGCATTTTTATATGAAAATTAATATAGTTAGAACAACACATATAAGAGAACAATATTGTATCCATTTAGATCGTTATCAGGCTTTACTTTAATAGATATATGAATATTTATTACGTAAATGTTAAAGCAATCAAGGCAATATGAGTCAATAATCAACTTGGTACATAAAAAGGGCCAGATAAAATCTTTTCACAGTTCTATCATGACACATCTTATTGATAGCGGTCATGTTTTAGATAAATCTAAATGATTTCGAGTTATCTATTGTATACCTCCATCATTTCCCAACGGAGTTCGTTCCCGTCTCCTACATATAGCTGAAGCCCCTTTGGAATTCGTACATATAACCCCAATTTATATGTACAGAATAAATACATCACCCCCCCCCAATTATCCCTTCCATGACCAGTTATAACTTAACTAACGAATGTTTTTCTATAAATTTTATTATGATCATTATTGATTTTATTCTATTTTTGTTATCATTAACCTTATTTTCACATTCATTATTGATTTGTCATTTTCCGCCTGTTTCTGTTTGTATTCTTCACTATCGAATTAGTTACATACTACTTATTACGTAATGATGTTTAATGCGTTTGTGATGACTATTTCTAGTCTATTTAGCTCCGTGTTGTTTAACTTTCTATTTCTAACGTTTAACTATTGATAAGAGTTTATTTATTGCATTTAAGATTATTCTCACTATTATCAGTTCACTTGTCTTCCTACTATCAACTTGTAAGCTTACCAATTATGTGTAGAGACTCATTGTATTTCATTGTGATTATTGACTCATATTGCATTGATTGGTTTAACATTTTCGTAATAAATATTCATGTATATTAAAGTAAAGACCTGATGACGATCTAATTGAAAACAATATTGTTCGCTCATATACGTTGTTCTAATTTTCACAATGAGAATATTTAAGATTCAATTTTAGTCGAACAGTCGAAATCTCCAACTTCTTTATTATGTCATACATGTACTTCTTAATGAAAGCACTGGGGTAGCCGATCTCGGTCAGTGAGTTGTTGATAAATTCAAGTTCCTGACTTAGAGTATCTACTGTACAGATCATTTTCGCTCTGTTAGTGAGACATCTGATCAAATTGCTCTTATAACGGATAGGTGTGAAACTGCAGAAGTGAGTATATTGGCATGAAGAGGGGTTTCTTCTATACACGCTTCTACTTAATGTGCCGTCACTTCGTCTGCTTAGTGTGACGTCAAAGAAGTTCAGCTTCTTATCATGCTCTCTTTCACCAGTGAAACTTTAGGATGCAACTTATTAGATCGTAAGACTTTCTAAAAATGTCTTGGAAATATTTGTGTACTAATGCAAAATTTGTAAAACTCCAGTTTTCCCTTTTCAGATGCAATTTCGTACTTCAGGTTAGCAAGTTCATCTAACCGTTTAGTACAAGACGAAGGGAGTCTTCTTTTCATGAATTTAAAGCAATTAGTAACTTTTATAAATTTCGATAAAACAATGAGAAGACGGAGTTGATCTGATGAAAATGTGATGTATTAGCGCCATACATTTCGAACAATCTGGTCACACACATATACTTGTCAGGGCATTTTTATATGAAAATTAATAAAGGTTAATTAAATAAAATTTCAAGTAAAATAACCAAGGGAAGGGGGAGAAAGAATAAGAAATTGTCGTGTTATCCTAGGCTATAGAAGGACTTAAGGATTACCAAGGTAAATTCAAGGTTATGACAAATTGTTTTAGTACACATAAGGGGGGTTTAAATTTACGAATAGCCAAGGCTTCAATAAACTTAAAAATTCGTTCTTGACAATTTCTATACAACATTCTAAATGTTGTATGAATGTTAATTTTGTGCCCCGTCTCAATTATATGTTTTGCTATCGATGAGCTTGATTTTCTACCTCCTACATTGATCGGATCATTTGACATACATTGATTTAGAAGCCAACTAGGCACATGTTCATTGACACTTGATTGTGATGTTCGATTACTCCTCCCTATGTATGTGTGTCCACACAAACATGTAAATTGGTAAACACAACGACATGTGATGTAGTCATTAGTTCACTGTATGGGTCTATTAGGAATCATGGCCTTAGACTTTTCAATCGCAACCCTCTTATGTGTACTAAAACAATTTGTCGTAACCCTGAATTTACCTTGGTAATCCTTAATTCATTTTATGGCCTTGGATAACTTGACATTTATTATTCTTTCTCTACCCTTAGTTATTTTACTTCAACTTTTATTTAATTCACCTTTATTAATTTTCATATGAAAATGCCCAGATTGTTCGAAATGTATAGTGCAAATGCATCACATTTTCATCAGATCAACTCCGTCTTCTCATTTTTCTATCGAAATTAAATTATTCGATTAGTCTGAACTGTTAAATTCATATTTATTGTTCTCAACCCTTCGCATACAACTCTCAATTTGATGTTGTTTAAGTTGATCTAATTTTTTAAAAAACACAAATGATTTCATTCCGATTTATCCATAATCATTAACCATCAGTACAAATATTGTTCGCATCCTGAACATTTTTACCAACCTACTTAGGCTACTTTTATTCAATTTTAGTAGTTAAACGTGCTTCACAGAAAATGTGATCCGTCAACAACTAACGTGGAGTTCCAATGTTTATCAGCAGTGAGAAGTGAATGTGAAAAGCCCTAAATGATACATTCACTGAATAGAATCGAACACACTGAGCAATTATCTCATTCAGAATGTTGTGGAGAACACATTCAGTTGAGTTTGAGGTTACCTGCTTTTAAGGTATTTTAAAGCAGGATAAAATGTTGTTAGACGGACGGTGAAAATATGAGATTAGATTGAGTGTCAGTCGTTAAATTCTGTCGTGGTCATTTCGAATCGTGCTTAGTTAAATTCAATTACTCCTCCATGATTTTCAATGGTCTACTAGTTGAGGCCAGCCAATGAAATACAAAAGGAAACACGTTCAGATAATCCTAAATCTGTTACCACACTCTGCATAGATATAGCAGTGGATTTCGACAGAACTTTGAATAACCTCATACTCTTGGAAAATATTCAAATGATTTTCTATTTTCTTCTATCTTCGTATTCTTGCATACTTCACCAGCTTTCTCCTGATTGTTACACGACTATTATTACCATCACAAGATATCAATCACCTGATTCGACAAGAAACGGCCAACTGAATTGAATTTATAGTTCTGATTATTTGAACTAAAAGGATGAGACAATGAAAATTTTGAGTCCAACTGTTATATTACTACCCACTCATACGCTTCATGTAATGTTCTCTCGTTGTTGTTTTCTGGCTATTGACTGATTCAAGAATTACTGCAAACAGGAATATTTGACCACATGTTAACAAGACATATTCATGAGACGAAATAATTG